GCTCTGCTGGCGGGGGAGGGGGCGAAGGGGGGGGGCAGATGTGGAGTGGGGGCGCAGTCGGGTCTGGGGAGGAGCCTTGCGGTGCCCCGGGCCTGGGGGCGGGGTGGTCCAATGCATTAGGCACTGGGGTGACTGATGGGGGAGGCGGTGCATAAGGATCTGGGGTACCTGCTAGGGGGAGACAGGACGCTGGGGTCTGCAGTACTTGGGGCATCTGTCCGGGGGGGATTGAGTGAGGGTGCAGGAGGCTGGGTGTTGCAAGACGGTTGGTGTGGTAGGGGCCGGGTGGGCTGCTTGGGTGTCACAGTGCATTAGTGTCTCCAAGGGTCTGACCTGGAAACCTGTGCTGCGAAGTACTAAGATGTGTGGGGGGTGTTCTGAGCCTCCCACCCATAGTTCATCAGAGTCTAGGAGCACTGATGGGGGTGAAGGCCATGCATTAGGATCCAGGGTGTCCTATAAGGAAACTTGCTGTAGGGCATTAGGTCTGGGGGGGTTAGACAAGGTGCTGCTGCTGTATATTAGGCTCTGAGGGTGGGATATGGTGGGTGGATGCTGAATTTAGATAAGTGAGGGAGACCTGGCTTGGGGTGGGTAGTACCAGAGACTGGTGGAGAGGGTGTGTCAGGGTGCATTAAGATTTAGGGGACACTACAATAAGTTAAGGCTCAGAAGGTCTGATCCAGAGAAATAGTACAATATATCATGACACAGAGGGTCAGATGTAGTGAGACTGTCAGAATTCAGGGCTCTGATGTAAGAACAGGGTTGTTAATACACCATTAGTTGGAATCTTACATTTTTGAAGCAAGTTCACTATGAATCTTGTTCTGAGAGGCTGATCTGGGGAGGAATATTAGTAGGCATCATGATGACATCATAACACCTAGCACTTCTATGTTGCCTTTCTTCTGAGACATTCAAAGTGCTTTACGAAGCCAAATAAGCCCCCGCTTCCCTTTTTGATAGGTGGGGATACTGAGGCAAGGACAGGGAACTTGTTTGCCCAAGGTCATGGACTGAGCTGGCAGGGAATAGAAGCCAGGTTTCAGGATCATTCAGTTTCATCTTTTGCAGGAAGATTTTGACCTCTAGGTCGCTCATTCAGATGAGTCTGTTGATTACAAGCACGTAGATTGTGTGTCTGCCTCTTATAGCTGGTCAAAACCAGATCAGGGAAGTTGTGACCAAATCCTGTACCTGTCAGACTGGACCTCTCAACTCCGTTCATCTGAAGAAGTGGGTTGTGCCCACGAAAGCTCATGATACCATTTACACGTTTTGTTAGCCTTTAAGGTGCTACTAGACTATTGGTTGTTTTTTAAGTTTTTGCTCTCTAGTCTGGCACCCTTGGGACCTCACCGGTGCTAAACGACAGTATTTGTTGGACCACGAGAAGTCAATATTTTCTAGCATCATTACCCACCCTTGCACTGCTTACTGGGCTCTTAGAAGACATTTAATGGTAAATTAGAGCTAAATAACAGCAAGTAACACTGAGAGTCATGACTGATGGCTATAAACAAGCTTTATGGGACTGTGGGAAACTTGGCCACACCTTTGATAAGTGGACATCCAGCTAACTAAAATTATGCTGGACTATGGATGTTGCCGGGCCGGAGAGTGCCAGATTAGAGAGGTTCACCCTGTACTAAAGTTGTAATTATCTTCTAAGGTTCCACTTTTTCTTTAAGGAACAGATTTTGTGGTGTTTCTGTTGCGTGGTGGCGTGGTAGTAAAGGAGAAGTTCTAGGATTCAACAGTTTTTCACAGGCCTAGTAAAAATGTGGTCAGCTGTCCTTGAGCATTGGGTAGACACAGAAATAGTTGACAGGTCTGAGATGTTACATGAGAGATGCAGGGAGCAAAGTATTTTGGGAAGGTATGTGTGGCCTAAAATTGTCGCACTCCCAGCAGTCTAACTTCCAGCCAAGTGTGCCCTGTTGTGAATGATGGGGGTTAAGTTGATGGGTGCATGGATAGAAAGCAAGACCCCCATCATGAGCTGCATTATTATCTCCGGCTACATCTACACTGCTGGTTTTTTGCAGCAGAAGATATGCAAATCGTGCTCTCATTTGCATATCTTCTGCCAATTGTTTTTGCAGAAGAGGTTTTGCTGCTAAAAAGCCCAGTGTAGATGGGGCCATTTGTTGGGGGGAAAAAACCCCTTTTGCGCAAGATCCTTTATTCCTCAAAAAAAGAGGTTTACAGGATCTTGCCCAAAAGGGTTTTTTTTCCCAACAAATGGCCCTGTCTACACGGGTTTTTAGTGTCAAAACCTCTTCCGCAAAAAGGATCTGCAGAAGATATGCAAATGAGAGCATGATTTGCATATCTAGCCTCTCTGTGCAGGAAAATCAAGTGACGTCTGGAGCCTTTTGGCCCAAAAAGACTTTATTGAAGCTATGGAATAAATGTTAGTGAAGAAAAATCTCCTGTGATACTAGGACATTGGGAGCTTTTGGAGGTAGTTCGGGGGAGGAGAAGGGAGAGAGATTGAGACAGAATTGGGAGACAGGAATTCCTGAATTGCAGAAGGGGCTTGACCACTTGCACGTTTATCTAATGTGTGTAAAGCACTCTGAGAACACCTTCCTGTTAAGATATCCGGTGTCTGTTTTTCTTGTTTGCCTTTCTCCAGAAAGAAATATTTAGTCTATGTTCCTTCCTGAGGCCTCTTCTCTTGGCTTTTATCCTGAATCAGAACTTACCTGATTCCTGTACGTCTCTTCCTCAAATCAGACTGGGAAATGAGCAGGTTTAGCTGATGCTCTGGGACATCTCGTTAAGAAATGAGAGGAATGGCCAGCTCATTGATCTTAGGAGATGGGTGATCTGGTTCAGAAGAAGCAAAAACTCTCCTGAGCCTTGGCTCAAAACCTGAATCTCTTAGCAAGTGCAGGAGGAATTCAGTTAACTTTTCTTAAAAAACAACTTTTCATTTTCACACGCCTCTGCGCTTCCTGACCGTGGCTGGAACAGAAGGAGCCAGAACACAGAGGTATTTCTGGCAAAGCTGGAAGCAACAGAAATCTTGCAGGAGGTCCTGTACTCCTAAAATTACCAGCCAATCTTGCAGACCTGAAGGGCTTGGAGAGTACAGATTCTGTTAGTTGCTTAATCGGTTAGAACCTTTTTGTTTTCCTAGTAGCTGATGAACGTTCTGTCCCAGTATTGCTGGCCCTGGCCACCTCTGCTGTGAAGCAGTTGCAGTTGGCTTTGGAGACTTGAAGGTGAATACTAGTCCTTAAATGCCATTGAGCATCTGAAGTGTTTAGTCACTCCAGTCAGCCCTGTCCTTTCCCATCGAGGTCAGCACATTCGGCTGGGACTCCTCTGGAACAGTGTTTCTCAATCTTTTTATATAAAATACCCCTTTTTTAAAAAAATATAAGTATCCCCAGTACCTACAGTTTTCAGACACACACAATTTTTTTCTACTATTGCAAGACATTTGTTTAAACAATTTAATCATAGCCGGGCAGGCAATGAAATTTTTGGGTGTAAAAAGTACCGAAATAAAGCGCTGTAAAACTTAAGACAAAAATTCAGTTTTTTCCAAATTTCAGTTGTTGATGTACTCCCCCAGACTTCTCTTGAAAACCCCTCAGGGTACTCGTACCACTGGTTGAGAAACACTGCTCTGGAAGGCTGCAAGGACTGTTCTGCTGCTGTTTATTGCAGCTGCATGATGGACTGTTTGCAGCCTAAGCCCAAATGTGAACCCATGTCCCCCAGAATGCATTTGAGATTACTCACTGTGTCATCTAGCTGTTCTTAGAGCAGCTGCTTCTAGCTGTGGTTCTTCTGGCAGGAAACTTCCCTTGGTGCCTGTTTCCTCTCTCCGTCCTCCCCATCCCTTTTTGCCTTTTTTTTTCAGAGAAGGTGCCACATAGATAATGGGGAGACTCTAAATATGGAACAGGAGGAAGGTCTCTGCCAGATACTCAATACACAAACAGAACAAGGTCACTGGCCTTTACCAAGTCGGTCTGTTCACAGGTCTAGAACTGCCATCTTGTCAGCTCGCTGAGGGGTGGCTGTGAGGGGAAAAAGGAAGGAGAATGGCCTCACCAGACGTTCCCATAAAGAGTTTGTTTGGGCAGCGAAACAGTCCTAATCTCAAAGTGACTGTACCAAATGAGACAGTGCTGCGGCTGTCCTCTGACTTCCGATGGGGAGAACAAGAGGCCGGCTCTTCTCTTTGAACCCAGCAAAGTGCATCAGCCATGGTCTATAGTCACAGCTGGAATCTGATCTCCTGCGTGTGTAGGTGTCCCTTCTGCTTGCATCATGGTCTGGAGCATCCAGTAGAAATCGCTTGCAACATAACGGAATGAACAGAGCGAATACAAGTCTCACTTCATCACATCTCTTCCCCCTTTTAAGACCAAACTGAGCAGGGTCACTTAACCAGTGGCCTGGGGGAGGTCAGGCCCCCCTCTCCGCACCAGAGCATCAGCCATTACTTGGCACTGTCACACCACCTCCATGTCCTAGTCCTGCATGAGCAAACTTCATCTCAGCAGCTTGGTGCTGGGTCCTTTTATTTGTGGTGCAAATTCCCTGGAGCTGTCTGGTTGCTCCCAACTGGGACAGGAAGCAGCTCCGTGGTACAGCCCCGAAAGCAGCAGTGTCAGCTTCCTACGTGCCCCCTTGCCTGCGCTTCTCAACCCTGGTAGGAACAACTGAAAAGTTAACTCAGCCTCTAGAGCACGTGCAGTCCTTGGCTTCTATGCAGGGACCAGCCCCAAGGGATTGCAGTGATGACTGTCATGATGTGGGCAGCAGTCTGCTAGGAACTGGGCCAAGAGTAGCTCCTTTCACATGGGCCACGGAACAGCCTGAGTTACGTACAAATGAGCAGTTTAGAGATGAAAAGCCCTGTGCTCTATTCCTATTCCCTGGAAAGCTCCCTGTCACATTCCCAATCTACTGAGTGTCTAATCCACTCAAGTATGTGCCCTTCTATGGGCATCGCACGGCTCTCTGGGTTTTTATTTTTAGTTGGAATTTGTCCAAATTGCAGGTCAGAGGAGGCTGATGTATCACTCTTAAAGTCATACATCTCTCCCATATAGTTAACTGGGGGCCGTGTGCATACAGGTCAACAGCAGGGTGGCCTCTTTAAGAGCATTCAGGTTTGAATGCGTGGAAGGCTTGGGTAAGCCACAGAACATCCTTGTAAACGCAGAGGAGGAATTGTGATTTGGTAAAGGTCCATTATGTCTGATTCATTTGATTTAATCGTCCCTCTTGGCTTGATAATCCTCAATTCAAATGGATCCAGGCTCTGACTAAACAAGGTGTTTGTATCACACCCAGCACAGTGAGACCAGGAAAAGCTCTCTCCAAAATGTCTTCCTCCATCAGTGAACCTACAACAATGGCACACATCTTTGCCAGAGTCCTGGCTTTTAAAGAGAGACAGCTGAAGTATAAGATTTCGGGGTTCAAAGCTGCATACACTGATGGGAATTGGGTTTCCAAATGCCCTTGGCCGCTTTGAAAAATTTCAGCATAGGATTTTAGTTCGGTAGTGAAGTCCCTCACCCTGGCCGCCTTTGTGTTTAATTATTTTCCTGTAGTGGCTGCACCCCAAATGAAGCAACATCACTGGAGGCTTAGAAAGCAAAAGCGACCAGTCCTGATTTCATTATCCAATTTGAATGAAACTCACCGAACAAACAGGTGGCATCAATGATGAAAAGTAAATTCAGATTTGAAAGCAAGTATATCTTTAAATCATGCTGATGTTTGTAGCCCAGGTGAGGAATCCTAGAACACTAGAACTGGAAGAGACCTCGAGAGGTCATCAGTCCAGTCTTCTGCCCTCATGGCAGGACCCAGTACTGTCTAGATCATCCCTAATAGATGTCTAAGGACGGTTTCCCAAGTGGGCCATTTTCCTTTAAGTCTGAAAATGCCACAGACCCTTTTGTGACGTAGTGGGGGGTACCTTGCTGGTTGCTATGCTGGGCAGTGGGTTGTGAGTGACCTCCACTGGCTGCTGTCTGCAGCACGGCCCAGCAGGGCAGGGGATGAGTCATTATGCAAGGGGGCTTCGAACCTGTCTGACCAGTTATCTCCCAGGGAATGGAAGAAGGGGAGTGGAGCCCTGGCTGGGGGCAGGGCTGGAAGTGGGTTTTGTTTGGTTTCTGGCTGGTTTCATGGAGGAAGCAGCCTAGGCAACAGGCTGGGATTTAGGGGCCCAGGCTCCCCCATCTCAAGGGGGGCTGAGGCATCCTAGGCCTGCCCTGTAACCAGATTACATCTGTGCTGGGCTGTATCCTGGAGAAGCAATAAACTCCTGCTATTCTACTGGCTGGTGGAGTCTGTCCGTGCCATTACGGGGCTGCAGGAAACGGGAAAACCCCAACGCGCCGTCACACCTTTCTATAAACATTTCTGCATCAGCAGCTGCCCGCCATCCTCATGACACATTTGTGAACTACCTGAAGAAATGCGGAGTAGAATTGAATTGCTCCCCTGCCTGACCATATGTAAGTTGTTCTGCCTCCAGAACAAACTCACAAGCTGTGGAAAGAGATGAGGAGCCTCTTGGGCAGGTTTTGGAATTTTTATCAGAGCAGGTGGTGCCCGGGCTAGTGAATGTCTTCTGTGATGGAACTCCAAGCCTCATCCAATATTAGCTTGCCTCAAGGGAGTATGTATTTCAACGTAGGTAGGCCCAGAAGCAGCAGGGACAGAAGTCAGTTGGGTTACCGGTACCAGGATTTCCAGAGAGCTGTAATTATCTTGTTGTATTTCAGCAGTGTCTGGAGGCCCCAAGTGAGATCGGAGCCCTTTTGGGTCCAGGTGCTGTACATACACATTAGTAGTATGTGCACATTCCCAAAGATTTTACAATAGGCCAATTGGACAAAAGGGAGAAGGGGAGCCACATGATCATGTCTTCTCCTGTTTCCCCAGGATCAAAGAATTGATTTTTTTCCCCCCTTCGGTCTTATTCCCTTCTGATGAAGTAACAAGTTGACACAACATTTGTTGCCTTTGTCATGTTGCCACTGCTGTATCTTTTTGTCACTGCGGGAGGGGAGGGGAGTCCCTTGTGGGCAGTTTCCATGCTGCTCGGGATTCATGGCATATAGATACCTTGGTGAGGAATGTGTTAGAAACATGCCTAAGAGACTCGCGTTTGTCAGCGCTTTCGTTGTACCAGTCTGGCTGGCATCACGGGTCATGACGCGCCACGGCACCCAGCCCTCTGCTCCTTTACCTACTGAGAGGCAGGGCGGAGGAGGGGGAGTGTTGATGAGAAGGAAATCTGGCTGCAAAAAGTGGGGGAGATCCTAGGGAAATGACTTCTGGATGGAGTACAGGAATGGTGTCTCTAGTGGAAAAGGGGGGCATAGACGTGGGGTTCTTTCTGGGCACATTGCTAGAAGTTCTGCCGAAGTTTTAAATCCAGTTGAATGACATAGCTGGAGTAATTCCCCCACCAGCAAGTCAAAGGAGGAGTAGAGGGAGCAGTTCCGCACAGCACGGTCATTAGGGACGGTTTTGTTCGATCACTGGCTGCTCGAGGAAGGACGGGGTCATTTCTTCTTCTTCTGACTGTTGGGAAGGAGAGCTGGGCACGCTCTGTCAGCAGTGAGCCAGACCACAGGCTCCTTCTGGGAAGGATGAATCCGACTCTAATGATGTGGCAGCATTTCACGTGGCCTGTGCTGAAAGCACAGGAGGAGGAGAGGAAGAAACGGGGGCGGGGTGGGAGTGGACCTATGCCTCAGCACCGTCTCCCTTCCCGGCCATCTCACTAGAGCCCCAGTGGGCATGGTATGGAAAAACAGCTTTGTGCTGAAGGACATAATCAGTCGGAAGGTGATTCTCAGGGCCCCGGTGTGGGAGGGAAGGAAGCCTGGCTGGGAACAGAGACGTTCCTGCAGATGCTGCTGGGAGTTCAAATCTCAGAGTAAACAGAATGACTTTGCTCCTGATGCCTTGGAGGGGAAAAGGGAAATTAAAGCCAGTCTGGGCAAGAAGTTCTGAACCTTGCCCTGCACACACTCCTCTGCCTTACCCTCCTCCCAGCCAGTTCCAGGAGCATCTCCTTCCCGGCTCGCTGGCTGCCAGCGCTTTCCCTGGCCTCCTGGAAGCGACCCTGCCGGAGCACCCGCTCTGGAATGTGGAACAGACTTGCTCTTCGCCTGCCAGTCACCTCCTGGACGCTCCGCTCCTGTGACTCTTGTGCAGAGAAAACAGGTTTTTTAACTCCCGCAACAGATGGTCCTGTGTGGTGACTAATGAACTGTTCCCTCTGCCCGTTCCGGGTGCTCTGCTCCGCATGCTGAGAGTGGGAGATGGGGCAGTGTGAGCCTTGAAAGCGCATTGCAGAGAGATGCATGTTAGAACTGACCACCGCTGATCTTTCCCTCGCCAGGTGATCCCTGCTTGTCCAAGGAGCAGTTGCGCTCTAGAGCGGGTTATTAAACCGAGTGGCTCATGGATACACAAGAGACAACAGGGCTTTATTTCAGCCCATGTAGAACCTGACGTTTGTACAGTCAGGTCTTGGAAATGGCTTGGGTCTCCATGCACCCTGGTCTCCCTCGCGCCGGCTCTTCCCAGTGACTGTGCCGCGTCAGGAAGCTATGGAAGGATGCTGCTTGCATGAAGTCATTCGTTCAGTCTCTCGCCCTGGTGATGAGCCAGTGCATTGGCTCAGCGCTGCTCTTCCTGCACATCAGCCTGCTACACGCCCTGTGACTGTGGATGCCCCACTGCATTCTGGGACTCCTGTCCCGTTCTAGCTCTGCTGGTGGCAGATGCAGCGTGGGGGTGACTTTCAGACACAACGTAGGGATGCCTCGCGGGCTGGGGGACTGGCTGAACTGGAGCTGCTGCAGCACTTCAAGCCGCCTGTCTCGGCCCTTATCAGCCAGACCTGAGATCATGGCTTTACGCTCAGGTGTAACAGTTTGTACTTCTCACAAGCCCAGCCTGCTGCTGGTGGGGGTGAACTTGAGGCATTGTCCAGGCGTTGGAGACTCAGGGTGTGGTGGCCAACAGCGTCAGCAATGCCTGTTGGTCTAGGCTAGCCCAGGGAAGCATGCAAGCTGGCTCCAGTTGTGACTACGCTAGCATGTGAGAGATCGATGATGGCGCCTTGGTGGTCACTGATTCTGCTGCTTTTTCTCTCTCTCTCTCTCTCTCTCTCTCTCTCTCTCTCTCTCTCTGGCCCGCCCGCCCGCCATCTATCGTCACTCCTTGTGCCAAGGAAATACCAACAGAGCCAGGTTTTTCCCCGGCTGCCCCTTGCTCCACACTTGCCCCTCAGCCTTCAAATGTTGTGCAGCCTATTACAACCTCAAGGCTCTTGCGGCATCCTGCTTCTGTAGCATTCCCCTGCTGGACCAGCCCCGTGCTCTGTCTAGTCTGGTGGCCTGCCTGTGATGGGCTGATATTGTAAAGCAGAGGCTTCTGGCTTCAAACTTGTTCTTACCATCAAACTCCCCCTGCATGCAGGAGTGATTCCCTCCTCTCCCCAAGGCCAAGTCCTGTCTGCTACTCAGCCAGCGTGGCAGAAATAACTCTGTAATTAACGGCATCCGTGATTCCTCAGCGCGGCTCCTTGAGAGAGTTTGTGCTGGTTTTTTCAAAGCATGTGGGGATCCCAATTCCTTTTCAGACCCAGCTCACAAACTAGCTTCTGTGAGCCAGTGTGCCTAGAAAGGAAGCGCAGCTAAAGCACATGGGGGTCTAATCCAGATGAGGCTCGCTGCTTGACCTCAGACAGAGATCAAGTAATCAGCCCAGTGATAAAACAATAACCCTCTGACGGGGCTCTGTACCTGGGGATCTCCAAGGACATGTTGTGCATTTAGTGAATGTGGCCTCCCGGCACCTCTTATGTGGAATATAGCTAGTGTTATCCTCAGGGCTCGACAATTAATGTCATCTACTCACCTGTGGCGAGTAGATTTTAGCCCGGCGCAGCCGCGCAACCTGCGCATGTGCAGCGTGCAGTTTCGCGTGGCTGGCAAGTGGGACTCGCTGCCGCTTGGCGAGCCCTGGTTATCCTCATGTAGACTTAGAGACTTGAAGGCCAGGAGGGACCATCTAGTCTGACTTCCTGCATGTTGCAGGCCACAGAACCTCACCCGCCCACTCCTGCATCGGGTCCAATGACTTCTGGCTGAGATCATCTGATCTTAAGAACATAAGAACGGCCACACTGGGTCAGACCAAAGGTCCATCTAGCCCAGTATCCAGTCTTCCAACTGTGGCCAATGCCAGATGCCCCAGAGGGAATAGACAGAACAGGGAATCAAGTGATCCCGCCCCATCACCCATTTCCAGCGTCTGACAAACAGAGGCTAGAGACACCATTCCTACCTGTCCTGGCTAATAAGTAGTGATGGACCTATCCTCCATGAATTCATCTAACTCTCTTTTGTGCCCTGTTTCAAGTCCTGGTCTTCACAACATCCTCTGGCAAGGAGTTCCACCAGTTGATATAATGTCAGGTTACAGAGAATCCATTGTTACTAAACAGCAAATGACCCATGCTGCAGAGGAAAGTGAAAACCCCTCTGTGTCTCCTTATCTGGCCTGGGGAAAAATTTCTTCCCAACCCCAAATACAGTGATCAGTTAGATCCTGAGCAAGTGGGCGAGATGGACCAGTCAGACACCTGGACAAGAATCCCCTATAGTAGCTCTGAGGCTTCCCCATCTAGTGTCCCATCTCTGGCTGCTACATTGTAGACAGTTTTGTCATGTCATATCCCCTCAGGAAGTGACTCCATCTCAGTCTTGAAACAAGGTATATTTTTGCCCCAGCTACTCTGCTGGGCAGGCTGTCCCAGAACATCACTCTGCTGGTGGTTAGACACCTTCATCTAACTTCATGTAAGAGATGAGGAAACCGAGGCGCGGCGAGAGTTGACTGGCCTGGAGCCCCCTGGAAGTCGTGGCAGTGTTAGCTAGGAACAAAATGCATGTCCGCCGGCTCCCAGCTCTGGACGCCAGCTCAGAGACCACAATGTAATTATAGCACGTCCACCACAGCGGTTCCCGATCGCCTGCCTTCCCCAGTCCCGTCTCCCTTCCCATGCGGTTGTGGGGGATGGTTGTGCAGCACACGGGAAAGGCAGTTGCTGTTTACATGCAAAGCAGCGGCGGGGTGAGTGCACAGAGGGGAGCGGTGGGCTTGTGGTTCTGCACTCGACGGAGACTTGGGTTGTGTTCCCAGCCCTACCGCTGATGCCCTGTGTGATTTGGCTGAGCCTCTATTCCCCATCTGTTACAGCAGGAGTAACAACACATCCTATGGCTAGTTCTGCTGTAAGTTCTTCAGCGCAAGGACTGTCTCTCACATACGCTACACACTTCAGTATCACTGTGTTGCTCAGGGGTGTGAAAAATCCACACCGCTGCGCAATGTAGTTATACTGACCTTAACCCCCTGTGTAGACAGTGTTGTTAGCAGGAGAGTTTCTCCTGTCGATGCTGCTCCCTGAGGTGGCATTACTAGCTCACCAAGGAGCTTAAGAGCGTCTTCCCCGGAAGTGCTGCAGCACGGTTTTACTGTCGGCCTGCCATGAGTGTGTGTACAGCTCCTAGCGCAGTGGAGCTCACGAGGGGCATGTCTGCACGTTACTGTAAACCCAGAGTTGTGTGTTTTGCCCTTGTTACGTTAGCGCCTCCAAGTTTGTGCTTGAGCATCCACACGGCGCTGTGAGCCTGAGTTTCCAATTGTGGGACGCTCACAGCCTCGCTAATGCGCTACACGGACCTTCTGACTCAGGCGTGCTCTTGGAGCTGTGTCTGTGCTGCAAAATGACAGGGCTTGGATCCAGGTCTCAGCACCACTCCCCTGGGTGGGTCCTTAGGATTTGCTGAACTCAAGAGTGATTTTCACATGGTTAGTAGGGGGATTCAGGCTCAAACATGAGTCTGAGTAGACTTAATATAGCGGTATCCTAGTGTTCCTATAGGGCCTCGTACTTATAGTGAATGCAGGAGACTGTCAGGGCGCCAGAATTCTGTTCCCCATTCTGCCACTGACTTGCTTAGTGACCTCTGGCCCATCACTTATCCTCTTTGGGCTTGGCTGTACTAGAGCTGTCTCAAGGTCAGAATTGTCACCCTTCTTCTCTCCCTGCTCCCAACACGAACGTCCCTCAGCTTTGTGGGACTCACGGCAGAAGACAGCGTAGCTGTGCCTCAGTTTCCTTGTGTATCATTGGAGCTGGACTGTATTTCCCCCCTCACACACACACACACAGGGGTGTTAGAAAAGCGCTTGACTGTAGCATGTGGAGGACTCTAGCAGGGTGAGGTGCAGCTACTAATAAGGAAGCTATTACAAGAATGTGTTTGTAAGAGATTTGGTGAGGCCCAAGTTAATGTTTTCCCTCTGTCTTATGTCCGATTCAACTGGGAGAAGGGACGGCAAAAGAAGGCCAGGCTGCCAGAGAACAGCGAAGGCTCCAAAGACTCAGACAGCTCAGCCGGTCGCCGGGGGAGCGCGAGCCGGAAGCATGGCCGGTGGAAGGGCCGGCCGGAAAGCCCTGGCGTGCTGGTGGCCAAGGTGGTGAGAACCGTCACTGTGAAACACAAACCCGGGCGAAGGCTGCCCATCGCTCTGGACTCCTCGCACCGGGGGAACCTGACCGAGCTGCGTGGGGATACCCAGCTGGCCATCTTCCAGCACGGCGACACGGGCAGCGTGGAGGGGGCTCCCCAGCCCACCGAGAACAGCTTCACCCCCAAATGTGAGATCACGGGCAAGGACGCGCTCTCGGCACTAGCGAGAGCCAGCACCAAGCAGTGCCAGCAGGAGATTGCCAACGTGGTGTGTCTGCACCAGGCAGGGACTCTGATGCCCCGCTCTGTGCCCCGGCACTGCCAGCTGTCAGGTGAGTCTCTCAGATTGCGATGCCAAGGGATTAGCTTTGGGGCAAAGATGCCCTGCTAGTTCGTGTGTGTCAACCTGTCATCCAATTCTAATCCGGGGTACAGGGGGAGCCAAGCATCCTGCCCCTCCCTCCCCCCTCCCATCAGCAACCCTGGGCCTGTGACTAATGCTTGGATTAAGGAGGCAGAGGTAATCCAATCAAAGCCACTCCAGCCTATTAGCCTAAGGAGTCTCCCTGCTACATGAGGCTGCTTTGGCTGGGTGGGTTCACGCTCTGCTGCAGGGATGCAAAGGAAAATCACAAATGCAGCCCACTGTGTTCCTGCATTATGCCCCTACAGCCACCCCCTGTTAGTGGAGAAGATTGTCCCATGGAGATGGCACCTAAGCATCCTGGCCATGTTGCATGATGGGACTTCGAGTCCTCCCAGCCCATCTCCTGTAGTGGGGATGGGGTGATTGGGGTCTGCTGTTCTGGCAGATCAGGGGTGTCCCTGGGGCTCGTGGGAAGGTCCAGCCATAGCAAGACGCTAATGCCAGGGCTGGGCAGGCAGGGAACTCTGTCCCTCCTTGGGAGAACAGCTGGCAGCAAGGCCTTGAGGAACAGTCGCTTCCCTCCCTCCCCCTGCAAGAGGCCGAGTTGAGCCCCACTGGCGGCTCAGTGCACCTGCTCTCTGTGTCTCCCCCAGGGAAGGTCAGCCCCGTGATCCAGTGGGACGAGAGCAGGATGCACCAGAGCTCCGTGAGCAAGCCAGTGAGGATTGCGTACATGCTGGTGGTCCACGGGAGGGCCATCCGCCAGCTGAAGCGGCTCATCAAGGCTGTGTACCACCAGCAGCACTTCTTCTACATCCACGTGGACAAGGTGAGGTGCGGGGTGTTGGTGGAAGGCCATGCTGCGGTTGGGCGGGGGGGCGCTTGGGGGAGGACGTGCCTGAGGAGGACATGTCTGAGGTTGGCAGGAGACGATTGTACCAGTGCCCACGACTGGATCGTTTGCAGGGACTGAATCTGGCCTATGGGCTCTGAAGGTACCAGCCGCTGACGGATCGGGCCCGCTAGGAAGGGGTAGAACAGTTGGCCAACCCTGTACGTAGTGTAGCCACTAGAAGGAGACACGGAGGCCCGTTGGATCAGCGTGGGCCTTGCCCAACACCCTCCGGAGCGCTCGTGCAGCAGAGACGTGAGCGGGCCCCGCAGCAGGCGGGGGTGGGAGAAGTGCAGGGCCAAGAGTCGCCTGCCTGGGAGCACTAGGCAAGGCACCAGTCTGGGTGCTGTGAGGCATGTGCCAGAGGGGGAGGGCTGTGCCGGCGACACGCTGTGCCTGAGGGCTGTGCTGGTGGGACCCGGTGCCATGTTCCCAGGTAGAGCAGGAAGGTCTCTCGCTCCTAATTGCTTGTAAAGCAGATTCTCGTGGGCCCCTTGCTGGCTGGAGGCACCAGCTCAGCAAAGCTGCAGCCTCGGACCAGCCGGTGTTGCCAGGGCTCCCCTAGCACGTCTGAACAGAGAGCGCCACGCAGCTCCCACCCCCACTCCACTCACCCCGTAACACCCACAGGACTCCCATTGCTGGGGAATGTTCCTTTTTCAGTCCTAT